TTTTCTTTGAAAGTTTATTTTTTAAAATTAATTTATAAATAAATAAATAATTTTCTACTTCAAGCAATTTCATTTTTGTTTTTATTTTTTATTTTTTCTTAAAGTAGTTTTAGTTTTGGATAATTACTTACTCTTTTTTTTTCTATATATTGTAATTTTGTGCATTTTAAATGTATGATATTTTCACTAATACACTCGGAAACGCACTATGAAAGAAGTATCATGTGAAAATTTAGTAAGAAGAAGAAAAATAAATAAAACAATACGATGAATATGCAGTAAAAATCAAAGATCAAAACTCTCAAAGCAAACAAGCAAACAAACAAGAAAGTAGAATAGAATGTTTAACAATATCATTTGAAAATTTGCAACAAAATCTTAACACTTTCCTTTTTGCTAAGAAAATTCTATTTGGTACTAGCTAAATAAAATGTTTTTAAAATAGTTTTTTTTTTTTAATTGAAATTAAAACTATAGTAAATTAATGTAAGTATAAAAAAAATGTCCTTTTTTAGGTTTTTTGTTTTTGAAGTATTTATATAGAAGTAAAAAAAATGTCATTAGGAATAATTTTTTTCTTAATTTAATTATAAATTTTGCCCGTACATTATTTTTAAATTTTGAACAAAAACAAACATAAAATAATTGATTGAAGATATGCTGCATTTTTTATATTCCTTTTTTGTGTGCAAAAAAAATTAAAAATCTCAATTTATATATATACAAATAATTATAAATACAACCCGTACATAGCACGGGTGGAACACTAGTTGTGTTAAATTGAAGAGTGAGATAGTAATTTTGCTTCACTAGCAGTGTTAAGCAAATATAAATGAAAAACAAACATGACAATATAATCAATTTTTCACACAAAATACACAATTCACTCACTATGTGATATCTAATAGCAAATAAATTATGGAACACAATTTAATGAAACAAAAGTAGGACAAAAAAATTATGAAAACTTTGTTCAATTAAAATATGATAAAGACATAGCGTAAAAAAATTAAGGTAAAATTATTTATTATATTAAAATTTGAAAGTTTATGAGAAAGAAAAATTAGGACAAAATTATTTATTATATTATTTGGGCCAACTATACTTGTATATGTGTTAATTCATTTTTTTTTCAATTGGGCCTACCCACAATTTTTTTTTAAATATATGTTTTTTAATTAGACCCAACAAAATTTTTTAGAACTCTTTAGACTGACCTTAAACTAGCAAAAATAAATTTAACCTATTTAAATTTAAATATACTGCTGATGAATTTGAAATCCCATTTTTGGGCCAAATTTTAGGCCCTATGGCACACACAATAGTGGCCTTAGCCCAAAGGCCGGCCCTGCCTTCACTCTAAATTGGGGGATTCTATTTACACCCAAAAAATCATTAATCACTCCCAATTTCTAAGTACATCATGTTTAATTATTTAAAATTTTATTTTACTATCATTACACTCTATTATTTTTTCTAAATTACCCTCAAGGTAAATCCAATTTCTATTTACACCGAAAAAATCATTAATCACTCCCGATTTCTAAGTACATCATGTTTAATTATTTAAAATTTTATTTTACTCTCATTACACCCTATTATTTTTCCCAAATTACCCTCAAGGTAAACCCAAATAATAAATAATAAACAAACTAAAAAAACTAAATTATTTCAAAAACTTTTCAATACAAAAAATAATTCTCAAATAAAAAAAAAAAAAAAAAAAAAAAACCAAACTTATGAGCACATATGCATTATAAATACAGAAAAACAAACTTTTACATAAGCATTATAAAACTTTTCAATACAGGAAAAAAAACTTTTACATTCTAAATTATCCATAAGAATGCTTGTGGAAAAAGTAAAAATCAAACTTATAAGCACATAAGCATCAGACACTAACAAAAAAGAATAGTTCTCAAATAATGTATTATTTAAATGACAAAATAAAAATAACTCCAATAATACGTTATTGTTAATCTAATTATTCGATCCTTTAATTTTTGTCAAAAAAAGGATACAGAAAATAATTGATGGTGCTCTACAAAATTGTGAAACTCTTTTATATGAATACTTACCTCATTTTTGATGGGTTGTTTCAAAAAACTATTTTTATTATTACTCTCATCCATTATTTGATTTTGTTCAAACTTTCTTCTAAAGTTTAGGGTTTCAAAATAATAAAAAAACAATGATGTTGATGATGATAGTGAGTTTTGGTAGGGTGGGTTGGAGTTTTGGAGGGAGGAGGAAGAAGAAGAAGAAGAAGAAGAAGAAGAAATAACTTTGATATCTCGGAGAAGAAGATATAGAGATTTAAATAGAAATAACTAATTAGAGTGTACCATGAGGAAAAAAAAAATATTTTGTGTTGAGAGTAGCTTACACCAATATACTCAAATAACCAATTGTACTTGGGTGAAGTAGGTGAGCTCGATCACTAATTAATTTACCATTTTTATAGTCTAATAAATACCTTTTTATGGTTAATTAGCCTTCTTTCCATTGCACACAGAAAGAAAGAGCACAAGAATGAGAATTATTGCACTTGACAATACTACTATCATATATTACTAAAATGATTTTTATTGATCAAATACTTATTTCCAGATTGTTGTGATTTCAGAGGTCTGGAGTACAACCCAATGCAAGGAAAGCCAATTCATCCTGAGTCAATAAACAAATCTACCGAGTTATGTGAGCAATGAACGAATCCAATTCCATTCGAGAAACACCACCTTCCTCTATCGCCTTCCGGGTGGCACCTCCCAATTCCTCCGCCCTCTTCCTCATCTCCTCCCCTTCTCTTGATGCCATTAGCTTCTTGACAGCTTCTGCAATGGTTGATGAAGCCACTACCCACTCTTGAAGTTCTGCCCATTGTTTAACAGCCACACCAGCCTTCAAAATGTCTGTCACGAGAAATGCATTCTTTGGTTGATCTGAGTGCATCGGCCAGGCTACAATCGGCACTCCCATAGTGATGCTCTCCAGGCATGAATTCCATCCACAGTGACTCATGAACCCGCCTGTAGATTGGTGCGCCAAAATTTCAAGTTGTGGTACCCAATCTCTCACCACCAGTCCAACTCCTTTCAGTCTCTCTTCATAACCTTCTGGCAATACTTCAGCTCTCTTAACATCACCTGAGAAAATGTCCCCTTTATCGGCATCTCTCAACACCCAGATGAATTTTTGTCTGCTCTGTTCCAACCCAATGGCGAGCTCTTTGATCTGTTGATTTGTCAATGAAGTTGTCGTTCCAAACGAAACATATAACACAGATTTTGGGTCTTGTTTGTCAAGCCATTCCAAACATTTGTGTTGGCTATTTGAGTTTCTGCCATTATGTACTGCTCCGATGTTCAATGGCCCAACTGTCCATATCTGTTTGTTTTTGTCAACCTGTACCTCTTTTGATAAATCAATGTAAGTACCTTCAATTGATCTGCACGAGTTGATGATAGTTCCAGATGTAGATTTCAAAAAATCAGTTTGGAGGGTTAGGAAACTCAGGATCTCGGAAGGGAAACATCCTTCAATAGATGGTAGCCCTTGTGGTTCATCTACCTGGAAAGGCTTTCCCATCAATTGCCATCCGTTGAAGAACGAAGCGAACGTGCAAGTTGGGTTAAAAGTATAGGTTTCAGTATTTGGTATGGTAGCGGTGTCCTGAACCACATAAGCCATGAAGACGTCGTGGACAACAATAACTCTTCTAGCCATGGGGGAGATTTTGTGCAAGAATTCAGTCATGGGGTCACGGAGTTGCAAAGAGGCTTTAAAGGATGGTATGAGATGTGATGGAAATTTAGAATTGGGGTCGGGGGGAGGAGAGAGGAAAGGAGGGGTAGGGAACTCATGGAAATGGATTTGGGCATAGGAAAGGCGGCTTGTGGCAATGAAGCGGAGTTTAGCCTGGTGCACGTGGGTGGCAGAGCAAGCGTAGTGAACCGGTATGTTGTAGGAGGAGATTAGGCAGGAGAGCTGGAGGACCTGGTTGAGGTGGCTATAGCATGGAAAAGGCACCATGATTACAACCACTTCAGCTTGTTTGTAGGCATGGTTTGGATGTTGGTTATGAACATCCATGGATGAATTTTCTGAAAGTGAGTTTCTCAATCTTCTATCTATTTGAAATGAGTTGATTCTTTATATCGGAATTTGTATTATGAACCGTAATAAAAATGACTCAAAGTTTGTCCATTTCTTCTTATTACAATGTTTGATTTATTTATTTTTTGATGTTCTGGTAGTTAGCATACTATAAAATTATATTATTATTGTAAAATATTAAGAAAAATCGCGCGGACAAGTACAGTGATAATATCAGAATATAGAATAACCAATGAAGAAAAGGTTTTCTCATTCAAAGGTTGGACTTTTTGTTATTATTTTTAAAGCAAAATCAAAGACTTGGGACAGTTGGCTAGCTTAGCTATGATTGTTTTGTTTTTTTGTTTTATATGCATGTATGTATATATGTATGTAAATGTTGTTCATAGTCCAATAAACATTTTTAATTGTCTGCCAAATTATGAATTGTGTATTTCGTTATTTTTGAGGTATTAAATATTTTAATAAAAAGTATTGTTAATTTGTTATAATATTTTGGTGGTGAAATTTTTAAATAAAAACATAATTTATTTTAGGAAAAATTACTCATAAATTCTATTTTAGTAAATGTTGCTCTAGTTAGTCCTAAGTGTATTTTCTTAAGCCATTTAGTCCTTTTTATTTTTGGTATGATATATGTTTTTGATATATGATATTTGATGATGTTGTTGGTGTAGTTAATGTTGCTGATGTAGTTAATGTATATATATAACCAATCCCTACTGTCTCTTCCTATCTCTCTCTAAAACCCTCCCATATTTGACAATAGTAATAAGATGCTATAAAAAACTACTCTAATGCCATGGATTATGCATGAACTATGTCTAACCATTAACAGCCATTTCATTAGTATAGAGACAACATTTGTAGGAAAATCTCAAAAGATGGAGCAAGGAGGGTGGATTCCAGTCATGAAGCAGAGAAGAGGGAAAGGAACATGGAGCAAGAAGCCAAGGACTGAATTATTTACTGTGTTTGTGGATAATTTGCCTTCCAGTATGGACCCAAAAACATTGTTCAAATTGTTTACAAAGTTTGGAATAGTGAAAGATGTATTTATCCCGCAGAAGAGGAGGAAGTTCACAAATACCAGGTTTGGCTTTGTCAGGTTTGACTGCTCAGTTGCAGCAAGGGTTGCAGTTTCTAAAGCTAATGGTCTATGGGTAGAGGACAGGGAGATTCAAGTCAAAATGGCAGAGTACAATAGATTTAAGGAAGGAGCACAGAGTAGAAACCAGACTAAAGGGAGCAAAGGCATCAATGAAGCAGGTAGAAGAAAAATACACTATCAGCATGGTTTACAGAGGTCATATGCTGAAATACTAAAAACAAACGCTAGAGGATCTGCGGGGAAAGTTGAAAGTACTATCATGGTGGATGAAGCCGGTCATGGTTAGCTGCACGAGAGTGTGATCTTGAGATTCAAAGATGAGTACTCTGTACATGGCATTGAGAAGATTTTTAAGGAGAAAGGAATTGAGGATGTAATGGTCAGGTGTGGAGGAGGCAGAGACGTGGTGGTCACCTTTAAATCCAAAGAAGCTAAGGATGCAAAACTATCACTGGTCAAAGAATGGTGTAGGGATTGGTGTGAGTTTGTTAAAGAGTGGGAACCAGGAGCTTGTGCAGAACAAGAGAGGTGCCTGTGGCTCAGATGCTATGGGGTTCCTCTAAGTATGTGGAATAGAAACACTTTTAGTAAGATTGGCAACGTTTGGGGAAGTGTTATTCGATTGGAAGGAGACATTTGCCAACCCAAGTCCTTCAGTTATGGAAGAGTCAGAATTGCAACTCAGTGTATGGACTTCATCAATAAAACCATTAATTTGGAATGCAAAGGAAGGCTATACCCTGTTATGGTGTGTGAAGAGCAACCAGTTAGCATATTTGATAATGGTAGTATGATACTTAGTGAGGTTGAGGATGTCCATAGCTCTAATGGATCTGTTAATCAAGAACCAGTAGCTGGGTGTGGTGCTGGAAATGAAGCAGATGACATGGCTAAGGACGTTGAGGAAGAAGATGATGATCTGGCAAATTCTGATACCGCAGTGGTACAGACCCAATGTGGGCTGGAGCCGACCTCTAAAGCTGTCCAAGTTAATACAGTGGTCGTAGAGCCTGAATGTGGCATGGGAAACATAGTGGAGTTTGAGGCACGCATGGATAGATCTCTATTGGTGATGGCAGACGGTGAACTGCAGGAGGATAATGTTAACCAGAGGGTTGATGAGCATCTTTTTACCCCTGGGTTTATTAAGAGTGTTAGTGGGGCAAGTGGGCACAGGCCTGGTATCCACCTGGAAGTTAATTTGGGCCATATACATGGGCCTGTTTCTCCAAATGGATTGAGTAAAGAGGGGGTGGGCACATCTATATTCAACACAACTAAATCTCATTGGGCTGGTACCAAGAAAGATGGGCTCTTGGTGCAATCAAGCCAAACTACTATCAATGGAAGCTCCAACGCTGTAAAGAAGGCAAAAAGGAAAGAAAAGATGAAAGTGGGAGGGCCGGGTGCAGCAAAGCCTAACACAGAGAAGGTTGGGTATAAGAGGTTAGCTCGTCTGTATGGTCAAAAAGGTAACCCATCTAGCAAGTCTATCCCAAAGTGCGTAGTTTTCAGAGCTGCTGCAGCAGCCTTGTCTCTTTCGGCTTCAACTAAGAATGGTTCAAGCAAAGGGAGGCATATTCTTAGTGAAGCTCAAGCTAATCTTTAGCTGGGTAAAGTTCTGGGAATTCACTACAATGGTAAAGATAGTGAAGTTTTGGAGAAATTGGTGGAGCTTGAATCAATTGACAGAGGAAGAAGAAAGGGGAGGGAGATCGCATAAGGGTCTCAGTGTCTCATCTAGGGGAATTTGGCGTATCATATGTTTACTGATGAATTTAATGTCATGGAATATCAGAGGATTAGGGAAATCTGTGAAGAGGGGAAGGATTAGGAAGCTCATTTGTGATAGGAGGGTTGACTTTGTTCTATTACAGGAAACTAAGAAAGCCTCTATTTCAGAAAGTGAAGTTAGAACCTTGTGGGGAAGGAGGAACATGGAATTTATGGCAGTAGATTCAGAAGGGTTAGCAGGGGGATTACTCTGTATTTGGGATCCAAGTTTATTTCAATTGAAGGACTGTTGTTCCAATAGAAGATTTGTTCTCCTGTCAGGTACTCTTCTGAACTCTTTTGATTGTGTTATACTAAATGTTTATGCCCCTAATGATGTGAGTGGTAGAGGTATGCTTTGGGATACTTTAATAAAATTAAAGTCTGATTTTCCAAATCCATGGTGCTTGGGGGGGGATTTCAATGAGATCAGATTTATTGGGGAAAGGGGGGGCTGCTCTGGAAGGGAAAAAGGGCTGAAGGAACTAAATGCATTCATTGATAAATGTGAGTTAAATGATATACCATTGCTTGGTAGGAAGTACACATGGTGTAATGCTCAAGAGGGGGAGAAATGGAGTAGGATTGACAGGGTCCTGTTAAATCCTGAGTGGTTGCAAAGATTTAACTTCAAGCTATGGGGTCTTTCTAGAACTTGTTCTGATCACTGCCCACTCTTGTTAATGAAAGATGAGAGGGATTGGGGGCCAAGACCCTTCAGGTTCATTAATGCATGGATTATGCACCCATGTTTCCCCTCTGTTATGGAAAAATTCTGGACTGAAAAAAGGATTACTGGGAGTGCTGGGTATATTCTTCTTCATAAGCTAAAATTGCTCAAGGGGGAGCTGAAAAAATGGAACTCTGAAGTTTTTGGGAATGTAGCTACAAAATTAAAGAAGGCTGAGGAAGAGCTGCATGGCATCGACATTACTGCAGAAGACAGAACTTTGTCTGAATCTGAAAAGAATAGAAGAAGGGAGGTGACAGGGGAGGTATGGAAGCTTAGTAGGATGCTGGAAAGGATTTGGCATCAAAAGTCTAGAGTAAACTGGATTTTGAATGGGGACAAGAATACTAAGTTTTTCCATGTTATGGCTAGTAGCAGAAGGAATAGAAATTCAATCAATTCTATCTCAATTGATGGAGTTGTTATGAAGGAGCCAGTTACTGTACGACTTGCAGTCTTCCAGCACTTTAGGAGGCAGTTCACTGAAAGCTGGGCAATTAGACCAACTCTAGGAGGCACCTTTAAGTCAGTTGCAGCTAGTGACGCATTTTCTGACCTGGAAGCTGCTTTCTCTAAATGTGAAGTAAGGGCAGCTATCATGGACTGTGATGGAAATAAGGCACCAGGCCCAAATGGTTTTAATCTCCTATTTTTTCAGAAATTTTGGAAGTTATTGAAATATGAGGTGTTGCATTTCATGAGGGATTTTCATACCACTTCCAAGCTCTCATTTAGAATTAACAGTTCTTTCATCACTCTTATTCCTAAGAATGATACTCCTAATGGATTAGCTAATTTTAGACCCATTAGTTTGGTGGGGAGTATGTACAAGATTCTCTCAAAAGTCCTAGCTCATAGGCTTAAGAGAGTGCTCCCTGAAGTTATTGGGGATTCTCAGTCTGCCTTTTTAGGTGGGAGAAGTATACTTGATGGAGTTTTTATTGCAAATGAAATTGTGGATGGATGGAAAAAAGCTAGAAAGAAAGGGATTGTTATTAAACTTGATTTTGAAAAAGCGTACGACTCAATTAACTGGGAATTTCTATTTTCTATGTTGGCCAATTTTGGGTTTGGGTCAAAATGGATTTCTTGGATGAGGTTGTCTGTTCTTGTGAATGGTTCTCCAACAGAGGAGTTTTCTCCACAAAAGGGTCTTAGACAAGGTGACTCTCTATCTCCTTTTTTATTTAGTATAGTGGCAGAAGGGCTGAATATATTGATGCATAGAGCTCATGAACAAGGGTTCATTAAGGGGTAAAAGTTGGGGCGAAGGAAGTGATGATTTCTCATCTCCAATTTGCGGATGATTTAATGTTGTTTTGTGAGGCTGACTTGGAACAAATAGTTCATATAAAGAGGGTCCTAATATGTTTTGAAATACTTTCTGGAATGAGGATAAATTTTCATAAGAGTGTAGTGTGTGGTGTAGGTGTGGATGTTGAGGCCTTATTATCCTGTGCTGATATTCTAAATTGCAAGGTCCAAGGATTACCAATGAAATTCTTGGGCCTTCCATTAGGTGCTAATCCAGGTAGGAAATCAACCTGGAAGCCAGTGTTGGATAAGGTTAAAGCTAGGTTGGCGGGTTGCAAGAGAAGAACTCTATCTTTTGCAGGCAGGTTAACGTTGATCAAGTCTGTCCTGTCTAGTCTACCTATTTACTATCTTTCTCTGTTCAGAATGCCCAATGGAGTTGTTAGAGAAATTGAAAAGCTCCAAGCTGCTTTCCTGTGGGGAGGTAATGAGCTGAAAAGGAAAGTCCACGTAGTAAAATGGGCTGAAGTGACAAAAAGTAGGGAGCAAGGTGGACTGGGAATTAGAAGAATCAAGGATGTCAATTCTAGCTTTCTCCTTAAATGGTGGTGGAAATTTGGGAAGGAAGTAAATGCTCTTTGGAGAAGGTTGTTGTGTAGCAAATACAGAATTGACGAGGGTAGCTGTAGACGTCCCCGAACGCCCCGGGAGGAACGAGCTCCCGTTCTGTCCATTTGGGGTCACTACAGCTCAGGACTCTCAAATGTCACGGTTCTTAATCTGAACCAAAAGAGTCCAAATCCGGCAAATCATTTTGAGAAAACAGATTTTGAAAGAAGTGCCAAACATGGACTGCTTTGCCAGATACAGAGTCGCCACCTAAATATTTTATTTTGGAGAAATTTAGGAAACCCTGACTCGTTTGCCTAAGGCCACGTGTCCGTCATCTCTTTAGTTTGTCCATTGATAAAGGGGGATCACTCTTCAGCTTCTATGATAGGAGATCTTCTGTGGAGGAGTGGAATTTTATCTTTAGGAGAAACCTCTATGATTGGGAAAAGGATGAAGTAAATAGATTGGTTGTGGTTTTAAAGGATGCCCCTCCTTTACGCAGTAACGTGGAGGACTGTGCTACATGGAATGGAACAGCTGGCTGCCTCAAGGTATCTGTTTTAAACAAGTTCAGTGACACTCCTCTTGGCCCTCATCTGTCTCTAGGTAAGTTTGTGTGGAACACCGATTTACCTCCTAAGGTCCAGTTCTTTGGCTGGCTAGCCTGGAGGAATAGAGTGAAAACTAGAGGTTTTCTCCAGCATATTGGTATTCTTAACTGTAGTGCTTCAATTCTTTGTGCCTTTTGTGAAAATGAGAATGAATCTGCTGCCCATGTGTTGCTGCATTGTCCATTTTCCTGGAAAGTTTGGTCAGATCTGTTACAATGGTGGGGGTGCCTGTGGGTGGTACCTAGGTCTGTTGACTGCTTGTTTTATTGGTGGTTAGGTGGCCATTTTAAGAACAAGGCTAGGAGA